AACATCTACTAAATTTATCTAAAAAAGGACTTGGATCACTGATAAGTTCGAAATGTAATAACTTGCTTAATGCTTTAGTGGCGCCACCATGACAAATGCGAACACATTCCCAACACATTTGCGATGAATGTGATTGTGAGAGTTATGTCTGTGCTTTGACTATCCCCTATATTGAACAACTTTCCTTACTATCGGTATTTTACAGCACGATTTATTTGACCCCTGTGGTTATTATTCTGTGATGTCAAATCTATATTCTACCTTGCACCGTATAAAATATCTGCGATATATAGTGCACACCATATTTCATGTAAATTTAAGCGCAATATTGTATAAATCAGTCATATTGTATGCAAGGTTGTAAACAATTTCGATGCTTATGCGAACTATAGACATTTTCACGCCTGGTTGTATTGGTGCACTGTGTGATTTTGTGGTAGTGAAATTCCGAGGAAAATATATTTTTTTTATATTAATTTATTTGTACAGGCTCAATCAAATAAACTTTACAGAGCCGAGTTATCATTTGCATTATACACGATTAATGTCTTAAATCTAGAGTTAAAGGAATTGAACCGATTACTCGCGGTTGAGGAAAATATATAACAAACCGCTGTCAAACTCATTTTGTCAGATCGAATTACATACATTTTGAGGTTAGCCCGAGGAAAATAATAAACTTTACACGGCAATAGACCCATAGAGGTAACTCTAAGACCAGAAGGTCCCGAAGAAACGAGCTCAACTTTTTGGTTCAGCTCTGGTACTATCTTCGGTCCCAAGCTAATCGATTCACCCCTCGAAACATAGGAAAATCCACTAACCCCTCATTTTAGCTGTCAAACTTTTATAGCGAATCAAAACAAACATAGCGTAGTACTGGAATTTATACTAGAAGGGGGTACGTTGATCGATTTGCTTGGGACCAATAGGCTAGTCAAGTATTGAGCCAATTTAAAACCGTTAGTTTCTTATTGATTGTTGATAGACCCCATAGGCGTAGCCAGATAGGGGCAGGGGGGGGCGACTGCCCCCCCCCTAAACTCGGCAACACAAAGGCTTTCGAGGAAATGGCGTTCGGTGAAATGGCATTCGGCCAAATTTTCCATGGTAATTTTTTTTCGCCCCTCCCTAGCTCGAAACCTGGCTACGCCCTTGATAGACCCCCGTTAGTGTGCGTGCATTTAACGTCACTAATCTCTGTAGAGCTTTTTGACGTTTAATCGGCGCACACTACTGCACCATTTAAATCGAACGAGTGCGAGCAAGAGGGAAGCAGATTAGTGGGAAAACAAACCGTTCATTCATCCATGTGTGCTAGATAGAGAAAGACGATTAAACGTCAAAAAGGTCTATAGCTCAAAATTAAACGAGGAGATTTTACGTGACAGTTAAAACTCATTTTTTTCCTTTGTGTGGTGCAGTATCTTTTATGTACGTCTAAACTAAGTAAAGGGCAAGTTAGGCGGACTGCGGAACCGAAATAAAAGGTCACCGTTTTTGTTGTACTTCCAGAGTAAACTGAGCCCAGCTCTATGTATTCAATAGCAAACCCCACACGCATCAATATATTGACGCGAAGGGGAATTATTGACAATAATATTGATGATGTGAATTCAGAAATATTGTCAATCTCGATACATTGACGTCAATATAGAATGTATTGACAATACGATTATTGTCAATAAAAGCAATCGTGTAGGGTCCACTAATGTGTTTTTATGCAGCTGGCCGTGCTGCCAGTTTAAGGTTTATAAACATAGTTTCGTCAATTGACGTTTGGTATCTCGTGAAATGTGCAGGTATACAACAGTATCGACTGTGCTTGAAAATGAATAATTTATTCCACCTAAATGCGGCTTTTGGATAGTGCATTTGTTTTGTGATTAACACTTCGAACACGATGCCTCCGGTAAAATGTGTAACGAAAAACTTGCAATATTTGAAAAATCATAGCGCAGCCATTTATTGACGAATTTCAAATCTATTGACCAGACTTCTAAAATTTATTAGATATCAATAGGTTTACAATCAATTGATAAATTGCTGAGCAATGATTTTTCAAACATCGTCAATTTGCCGTTACACATTTTACCGGAGGCATCGTGTTCGGAGTGTTAAGGCGATTAAGGCGCATATAAAGAAATGGGGCCCTACGATCCCTTTAGCTACATGTTGTGAATTATTTCTTCAGTATAGGGTAACTGATGATGGTTGGACCTTTTAGGCCGGTTTCACACGACGTCAATATTCATGTCGTATTTTTTTTATGAATTCAACATATAATTATGAAAAATGCGTGATTAGGGGAAAGATCTACCTTTCTTGTTTCTAATAATAACATAAAAAGTTAAATATTATGAACAAATGATTTTATAAAAAGTTTTTATTCAGCAAAGAATTATGATCTTGGTTGAACCTAAAATATGATGATGGTTGGACCTATTTTTGCAAATGCTAATTTAGCCCATATATGTTCAAAAACTTTGTTTAGAGCTTATTGGTATCATGAAAAAACCCTTTTCATACAGTTTTTTAAGAATTTGCTATTTAAAAAAATTCAATAAATTTGAGTTTAGCTTCGTTTTTAAAATAGCTCACTTTCCACGCATTAGCTATTCATCATGGCTCATTTTCTCGGAAATCATTGACCCGATTTGGAAATTTTTTAACGTCAAACTATAGGTGTTGTGGTCCCATTGAAAGCTATTGAATATTTTTGGAATCGGTCAACTGGTTCCGGAGATATGGCCGGAACAAGTTCCAGGGTATATGGAACATGAACCTAATTTTGACATGGAAGGAATAAAACCTATCATGCGACACTTCACATTACTTCCAAATTCGATAACAAGATCAATAACAAAATTGAGTGCCTTGGATGACATTGGCCACTTCCGGGCATGTTCTGGGTGTCCCCGGGGAATTTAGGGGCTTAAAATGACAGAATATCAGAACTTAATTCCGGATTTATATTTTTTTTCTGCTAGGAGTTTTTTTTTTCGGAAATAAGTTTCAGTTAGCAATTTTTAGTTTGTTAACATTTTATTTCAAGTTAATTCACACACAGAAGGTGTATGAGAAGTGCTTAATGTTAATTCATAGTAACAGATTCTTTCGGCGCTTTCGTGGTAGTTCGGAAATCGGGCTACCCTTTCAGCCAACCTGACGATGGAATTCCTCCTTTAAATTTACGCCCAACTAGTGACGCAAGGTCTTTAGCAGCTTCCAAGATCTTTTCGGTCGTCTTGGGACTGCCAGAAGCAGCGCACATACAAAACCAATCCCCTAGCTGGTTCTCCAAATCAACACTCAACACTATTTCCCTTCCACATTTCTTGTCGTGGCTTCCCTTAATTATTGCGTGAAGTGTCGTTTTCGGAATATTGTACCTTTTCTGTGCCTGATACGCGGTAAGTGATTTATTTCTTACTAAAAAAAACAGCCTTTTGAAGATTTTCGATAGTATAACTCTTTTCTTTAGCCATTTTTTCAATCGAAGAAACTGATCACTCGGCCAAACGAAATCGAGTTTCAAATCAGCTGCGCATGAAGGATGTAAACAAACCGAAGCGCACCTAGCGGCCGTCTTAGGAAACACATAGGTCCAACCATCATCATGCGTAGGTCCAACCATGATCATATTTAGCTATTCGAATTTCGTCAATTATTCAAACATTTTAGTGAAACCAATTGGTAAATGGCGTACTAACGTGTTGTTTACACCTTAAAGCAGTATTTTACTGCATGAAAATAAAAATAAATGTTAAAAATATTTCTTTTTTGTATGTTTGAAAGTAAGGCATGATGACGAGCTAATGCGTGGAAAGTGAACTGTTTTGATAACACATTGAAACTCAACTGTTTTGAAGTTTTTTCAATGTTCCCAATTCCCATGCAAATTGAAGAAAAAGAGTTTTTTATGATAGTAAAGTGATCTTTGAAAATAAAAAATTAGCGAGGATTGACTAAACTAGCGATTGAAAAAATAGGTCCAACCATCATCAGTTTTTGGATAGGTCCAACCAGAATCAATTACCCTACCATGGACAGCTAACTAATAAAACCTTAATTAAATGAAGGATTATTCAATACTTTCTAATTTCTACGTGGATTCAACCTTACCCGCATTTATTAATAAACGGATACGCAAACATTGGGGTTGGTCAAGTTTGTATGCCGTATTACAACGTCCTGTTCCCCACTGCTCTTTCGATTTGTATTGAGGCTCTCAACGACTGCTGAGTTTGAACGAATTTGGAATGTAATTTGGAATGTAATTTGATCGTATCGTAACCGAATTTGTTCCAATTTGGCACATTTGCTGGGGACCTCAACACAAATCGAGAAAGCAGTGGGTAACAGGGGGTTGTTAAGTTGACTCACCCTACTATACATACGTCCCACCAATTGGATCCAAATATGCAAGGAAAAAGTAATACCGGTGAAAACCTTGGCACCTCCATTCATAAGCTTATGACTGGTGCTCGGCCCAGTCGAAGTCTGCAGTTACTAATTAAATTTGCTTCGTTCCGAAAAGTCGCTCACTCCGGAAGACTGTGTTCTGTACCTACTTGCAAAGGTTAGCCGAGGTTAAATAGGCCTTCGGTGGTTTTTTTTTTGGCGGTTGCATTCTCGAGGATTATCTCATTTCTCCCAAAAATTAAAAAAAATAACTACCTAACCTACCTAGCTAGTTTGAAGGTTTCCGCTTTCGATCATGTTTGTTTCCTTTTTTCGTGTGCCTAGATTGTAATAATGGAAATATGTGGTCATCAAGGTGGTGCCAGTGGCGGCGGCGGCGGCGGCGGTGATGGCACAAACCTATAATTATGGGGTTGTCTTTTTGGCTAATGAAGGGCCAGAGTTGATTCTGGTCTGTTGGTCGGTGTAATTGTGGCTTAAAACACGCACAAGTGGGCGTATAATTTGTTCTCGATGGGAGTAATTTGTCGGAAGGTGATCACAAATAAAAGCGAAGCGCAGGCTTTCTGGTAAAATTTCTGTTAAATAATTTATATTGCTCTATGTAAAGTTAATAATAGCTTACACGATATAGGTAACAATAAGGATTTGGTAAAAGTTCCTCAACGCCCAAATACTAGATTATATTGAGAAGGGATCAGTAGGGGGGCGGGAGAGGTTTTGAGCACATGCGGCTAATTCTAGTCTAATTCAGGCGAGGGTCGTTTCCGGTGACAGATCGAACACGGTGTCGTAGTCGTCCTCGCATTTGGTTTTCACAGCCAGATTGGCGGGTCTCGGTACGGCGAGCGGAATGGGAAGTGCTTCCGGCATGACCGAATGGTGCACGATCAGTGCCCGCAGGGAGGTGAATTCTTTGTGGAAACCCTTGATCTGGTAGCCTTCGGTGGCCGTCCGGACGATGAGGTAGTGTGCGATCTTTGGTCCAGGTGGGGGTACCCGCAGCGAGAGGGCGTAGCAGTCTTGTTTGGTAGAACTTCGGCGGACGATAAAGCTGCCGGGTGTCTGGTTGATGAGCAGGTCCAGCGAGAGGTCCCGGGGGAGGTTTTCGTGGAACCACGACTCGGCGCACAGCCGCTGGTACTCGGCTTCCTGCTCGAGATCGCTCTGGATGGAGGTGGTCTCCGAGAGGCGCTCGGGGGCAATCACCAGGGAGCGATCTTCATCTTCTGCTGATTTCAGTAAATTCAGGGCAATTTTCTTGATCTGCCGGGAAAAGGAGTAGTGGAATGTTATGTTAATTATTTATATGTATGGAGATAAAAGTGTAAAGTGGTTCAAATTATCTTTTTTATTTCACTTTCAGATAACCAGCTTATTGTCTTTTCTGAAATATTCCTCAGAGAACTTTCAATATACCCTTCAGAATTCCTCTTTGAGTTTCCTCACAATCTCTATGGAGGTATCCACAGCATTATCTTTGAATTCTACTCATAAATGCCTTGAAATTCTCCTGAGAGAGATGCACATATCATGTCCCGCTCTAAGGGGGAGGGAGAGGGGTGCTTAATTCTGTCACAAGTACTGCTTTAGGTACAGTACTTGCTCGCTAGCTGGGCGTTCGTAAACTGAGCTGTAGTCCAGTTGACATTTCGTTGTCATAATTTGTGGGGGGCTTTTAAAATAACTTTTAAATTATTTTAATTTTACACTGAAATCTAGACTGCAAACTGGTATTAGCGAAAGCGTTAAGCTTTTCTAAACTCGCGAGTTTGAATGCTGTGAAAATTACAGTAACAAACTTTACACTGTTTCAATTCAATGCACATGAAATTGTTTATCGTCGATTTAACAATCCATTGAAATTCCCCTCCGTGTTTTATGACATTTAACAGGGCAGCCCAGTTAGTGAGTAGAATTCGCTAACTGGGCTGCGCTTTTAGCCCAGTTAGCAAACAAGTACTGTATAGGAAAAACGTGATGGAAGGGGAGAGGGGCGTTAATTTCTCACCATTTTACTCTAAACCGAGATTTTCAGTAATCTCTTATTTGTCGAGTTGTGCAAATCTCGGCAATTAAAAGCCGCAATTTCTTCTACATTCAAATAAGCTGAAAATGATGGCAACCTTGAAAGATAAACCAACTACCTGCATGAATTTGAATTTTGACATGATAACATAGACGAGTGCACGGGTGGATTTGAGTTCACTCACTCGACAAAAAGTAACACAACAGAGGGGCCCTGTTTACTAAAAATGAACACATATGTGTTCAATTTTAGTAAACAGGGCCTCGCTGTTGTGTCACTTTTTGTCGAGTGAGTGAACTCAAATCCATCCGTGCACTTGTCTATGCTCTTGATCAAGGCAACCGCTGAGTTTGGAAGTCAACATTTGTTTTTGTTCATTCAAAGATGGATATTATCGCCTGTTCTGTTGTCATGTCAATATTCATATTCATCCTGCGGAACAGTGGCGTTTCCTTAACCTCAATCTACCTGTGCACCAACCAGTCTTGTAAGCGGTCACGGTAGTCGACACATTTTCTGTAATAATTGACGAGTGCACGGATGGATTTGAGTTCACTCACTCGACAAAAAGTGACACAACAGCGGGGCCCTGTTTACTAAAAATGAACACATATGTGTTCATTTTTAGTAAACAGGGCCCCGCTGTTGTGTCACTTTTTGTCGAGTGAGTGAACTCAAATCCATCCGTGCACTCGTCAATTGACTGCCTTTGCCTCCGACACTTGCAAAGCAAGCTATCATAGTACAGTACCAAACTAAAATGTCGTATGACAGGCTCTGTCATACGACACTGTCGCTGAAGACCGTCACGAATGTATGTATTTTAGTTTTTCTCATAATAGGAGCTGCTGATGATGTGCTTGTGTGAATTCTGAAAATAGCAAGCAATGATGTCCTAGTAATAATATTTCTGATCAGAAATGGTTTGATTTACATCAAATTGAGGAATTACAACGAAATCACACATGTCATATGATAGCTATTTTGATAATTTTATTTTAGCTCAAATGTTATTCTACCGCTCGTGTTGTGTGAGAGAGACGACGGTAGAGCATAAGTGTTCGAATACAAACAGACTGTCGCGCACGACAACGAAGCGAGTGTAGTAAAAAACGTCAACTGTTTCAACCCCTGGCACCAACTCTTAAAACATAAAAAAAATATCAAAATATTGCTTGCAGTGGATAGATATCGAGTAAACTAGAAGATTAAGTGTATTTTTCAACCGATTCGAGTATGAATTTGGCATTAAATCTGGTTTTGAAAGTTGGTGCACAGGTAAAAAGTGAGGTTATGGGACGCCACTGCTGCGGAATGATAATTTTCGTTTTACACAAATATACCGTTGTGGAACGTGTTATGTTGCTTTTCTCAGTCAAGCCTAGTATACAGATCGAGGCGAAACGAAATTTGAAGCACGTGAAAAATCATGTTGTGAAAAAATGTTTGTGGAACGTTTTCCAGTTTCCTTTTTTCGCAGTTTACAGTTCATGTGAAACGAAATTGAGCAGTTTACACCTCCGGTGAAGTGAAAATCTGATAGATACGCTCTTTCTCGAAACGTCAACTTTTCGCTTGGCTGCTGCTCTTTTCGCGAGCACTGCATGCGTGAAAAAAGTTAACGTGAGCGAAAAAGATGCGATCCACAAAATTCGATTTCGCTGGATCGTATTTATTTACAGTTCAAAGCGAAGTGAAAAATTTGCCAATTGCGTTTTTCACGCAGGTGAAAAATTTAGTATTTTGTATGAGGTTTTCGCTTCGCTTCGAACTCTATCCAGCTTTCCATGCTCGGTAATGGCGGCCTGTTGTATGAATAAATGTATCCTTCACTGTGCTTTTTGACACTAACTGGAGGCAGAGATGCCAGATCTACGGAAATCTCCGTAGATCTACGGATTTGACAATTTTTTGCGGAAATACGGATCCGTAGGCAAAATCTACGGAATTTGGTACAGTTTCTACGGATTTTTTTATTCAGTGTACGTCAGTTTACTAGTTTCCTCCCTTCAGAATCCAATTTTACAATCTAGAGTATAATATGATTCTGAAGGGAAAGAAGCATAAAGTAAAATACACCCCTGCAACTTGTAATCCGTTTTCTTGCTCGCTTTCCAACGCAACGAAAATAGAAACGTGCTACAAGACCCAATTACCGAGCTGTACCTGGAGTTGCTTAATTTAATTCTGCCGATTATCGATAAAATTAACAAGCTTTTTCAAGCAGAAAAGCCAGAAATAATATCCATGCACTCTACTTTGACACGAAAAGTAAACCAAATCTTGGGCTATTTCGTAAAACCTCAAGTTTTACTCGCTGCTTCTAATCCGAAAGAGCTTAGATTTTAAAACAACGATTTCAAACCATTGGGTGAAATATACTTTGGCGTTAAAGTATCAGTCCTCATCAGCTCCGTAAAATACGACAGGAAAAGCATTACAGAATTTCAAAACCGGTGTTTATGCTTAAATGTGGAGCTGGTTAAGCAAATGCTTAAAAGATTGTAATTGGATAACGTGGTATTCAGGAATCTAACCCTCTTGGAGCCGAAAAAACTTAAGTAATCCACTAGTTTGGGTCATCTACTCGGTCATTTCAACAACGTAATTGACAATGAAGACTGGCAGCAAGTCGATAATGAGTTCAGTGAGCTGCAAGTTTTCGACTTTAAAGACATCGGTGCTACGGATGAAGACAACCCAAGTAACAATTTTGGTTTTATGAGAATTCTGAAGACCATGATTTAGACTTGTAGCATGCTTTGAAACATCGATAAAACTTGTAATGTTACTTGGGAATGCTGACGATTTTTAGACAAAGATTCTTGAGCTGCGGAAAAACGATGAAAATTTCTTCTTTCCATTTCTTTGGCGGATACTGAAGGCGATTCTTGCATTACCGCATTATTCCGTGGCGGCTGAACGAATATTTTCAGCCCAAAACCTCAACAAGACTTTCTTCAGACAGATTATCAAACGAAACGCTGGTTGGAATATTAAGAACAAAGGATTGGCTGAAAACACTTGAAACTTCTAGCTCAGTTTCAATCCCAGTGAACATGCGAAGCAAGTTCAACTCTGCAATGTATGTCACTAAATCACAGACAAACGAAGAAGATGTCAGTTATGTTCTACAAATTTTAAACAAAGTTTAATTTGTTATTGTTTGATATGATAAGTTATCCTAAAATCATTTTAATACACCTAAATGTAACAAAAACGATAAAATACACAAATATATCTCAAACAAACTGTCTGATTCACCAAGTATTTTTATATTTCTTAAATGAAGCAATGAGATTGGGTTGTTATCGGAATGATTTAAATAAAACAGGAAGAAAGGTTATCTTTCATTTAATTCCAGTCAATTAATTTTGGTATCCATAAGATTTTAATACCTGTGATCTTGAAATTTTCACCTAGAGGATGAGAACTTCAGAGGGTTAGGTTTTGATAAGTTTTTTAATGGAATTGACACTGATGAAGACTGCACATTGTAGTCGAAATACGTATCTGTCATGGATACCAAAATTAATTAAGTGGAATTTGGATGATATTCCTTTTTGCTGTTTAATATTTCTTAAAAAAAGTATAAATAGCACTTGTAAAACCAACTTTTGATAGTTGAAGATTCTAATTTCATTTCAACTTTTGATGTTAGACCCGGAGGGCAGAGTATCTTATGCCAATCGACTAAGCTCAACGAGATCTACATATGCGTATGTGAGTGTGCACGTGTTAGTAAGAGTGGTTCCAAAAAATCGAAATTTGAAACCATTTTTTCAAAAGTTCTTTCATTGATTTATCATTTAACGTAAATATCACCTATCCGAAGTTCGACAAAAAAAAACCGTAGAAATCCGTAGATTTGAATAAGTCTACGGAATTGCAAAGAAAAAAATCTGGCATCTCTGACTGGAGGGCGTATGTTGTTCCATTTTCTTCTGTTCCTGGGAGAGGGAAAGGGAAGGGGTTGAAATTCGAACATCCAGATAGTGTCAAAAAGCACAGTGAAGGATACATTTATTCATACAAACAGGCCGCCATTACCGAGCATGGAAAGCTGGATACAGGCCTTCAGATCGGATTAAAATTGGAAAATTATTGTCTTTTGCAGAATTGATGATAACATCGAGGTTTCAATCTCTGCGATGGATAATATTCAAAATAATAATTTATGGCAAAATGAATTTGATATTTTTGCTTTTGAGGATCATTTCCGAGGGGGCGACACATCTAAATCTCAATTCTAGATGCTCAAAAAATCTCATACTAGCGAATCAATCTTCGAAAAATCATCTTTCATTTCTCGCATCTACTTGCATCGTGCTTCATCTTTTTGCAGGAAATCTTCAAAATCGACATAAATCTTCTTTCTATCTACTCAGCGTGCGTGCAGCTAGCCACAGCAAAACACAATCTTTTCTGCATCGTAGATAGAGTCGTCCCCCTCGATCATTTCCGATTTTGGAAATTTTGGGTTGGAAACGAGGGGGACGACTCTATCTACGATGAAGGAAAAATTGTTTTTTGTTGTGGTTAGCTGCGCGCACGCTGAGTAGATAGAAAGAAGATTTATGTCGATTTTGAAGATTTCCTGCAAAAAGATGATGCACGATGCAAGTAGATGCGAGAAATGAAAGATGATTTTTCGAAGATTGATTAGCTAGTGTGAGATTTGTTGAGTACCTAGAATTGAGATTTAGATGTGTCGTCCCTCTCGGTTGGAAACTAAACCGTTGATGAATATAAACAAACGTGTATTCATCGATGGACAATGAACTCATTTGTTCATTTCACTCGTACGTTAACAGCGAAGATTTTCAAAACAAACGCAATTCATCTACACTGGGTAGAAGCGGCAGTCAGTGCGTGTGAGGGTAAATTCGAAAAACAGACACTGATTCAGAGGTTCAGACACATAGGGGTAAGATGGACATAGTGAGCATCCCGTGCACCAGCTTGGACTTTCGGGACAAATTGGTTGGTGGTAGGATCAATATCATAATGATATTGAACCTACTACCAGTTGATTTGTTTCATGCATCTAGAGATCCAGAACCAAACTGCAGGATGCTCACTATGCCCCACCTGTTCACTATGCCCTTTTTTCCTCTACCCTCATTTAATTCAGAAATTCATGCTAAACATTGCATTAGGTCCTAAGTAACATTGATCGATTCTCTTCGTCGACCTTCTCTTTCGTTAATAACTTGAGCACATAACCGTTTCTTGTTGTGTTTGTCGTATTAACGGGTGTTCAATAAAAAATTAGAATGATTTCAGTGCCGTCCATCATCGTGACTAAGTTCCGTCGTACGACTGACCAGGGCCCCTTCTCCAATATTCATTCTAGATGAACATTTCAAGAGGTCATATCTGCATTGACCAATTTTCTTCACCGACTTTCTCTTTTGTTAATAACATAGCTGCAAAAACATTCCCTGTTGTATTTGACGTTTTGGATGCTCAATAAGAACATTCTTTATCAAACTAACTGGCAATAATAGCACGAAATCAGTATGCATAGCCATGGTTATCAAAAGAGAAAGTCGACGAAGAGAATGCATCAAAGCTGATAGGACCTTTTGAAATGTTTATCTAGCATTTAAGGTTTTTTTTGAAGAATAAACATTTTGTTTTTAATAAAAATACTGAATCCGTTGAAATTTTTTCATTTACTAGCTATATGACTGAAAAAAATCTCATTTTTTATTGAACACCCGTTACATGCTAGATAAAAACCTCTTTTTTCGATCTGTGCGCTGAAAATACCTGGGAATGTCTTAACATGGTCGTAGGGATTCAAAGAGAAAGTCGACGAAGAGAATCTGTCAATGTTACTTAGGACCTAATGCAATGTTCAGCTTGAATTATCTTACTTGTCTTCCCTAAATGCAAACATGAGCAATTCTGTTGAAATTTGAATAGGTAAGATGAGTCAGATCTCACCATAGGTGGATACCTTCAGGTTTATCGTTAGAAATTTGGCAGATTGGGGTGGTTTGTTGACAATTTTTCATAAACAAGCCACCCTAATTTGTCACCTTTCTAGGGAAAATAAAGTGAGGATAGCATATTGTGCACTTCCCTACTGGGATCGCCTAAGCAAGGTTGCCACCAAATTAGCTGGAAGGATCATCGAATTGAACCAAAATGGATAATTTTAACCGGTCTACAGTAGTAACTATACCCTGAAACAAACACTCACCAGCGCTGGTTTGTCCACAAACTTGGCCAGGTTAACGTCGTAATCCAGCGGGGGCTTTTCCTTCTCCAGTAAACTTTTAATCTCTCGGTAGTCGACAGCTTTTGATTTATCTTGCACCTGGTGATGCTGCTGCTGCTGATGCTGCTGCTGCTGTGGATAAATTTTCTGCTCCTTGGAAAAGTTGTTCCTTTTCAGGATTCGCTTGATACACTTGTAGATGCGAGCCTTGCAGTTGAGGGCGGTGGCTGTGGATGTGCGTTTTTTCGGCACGGATGGACGTTCCGCTGAGTTGAGAGGTTTGTAATTGCGGCTCGGTGACGTAGTGGCTAGCACTAGGATGGATCGCGATTTGCTTGGGGTATGCTGCTGGTGGTCATGGTGTCGGACTCGGTCCGGGGTTGAGTTTTTGGCACATTGGTTGATTGGAAAATCTGCGGTGAGCGTATTGGTCTGGAAAGATACAATGGGTGAAAATCGTATTTGAGTTGTTGTTGTTGTATTAGTGATATATTCAGTTATTCTATAATCTGATAATAAATACAGTCATCGTTCTCTCGGTGGGGTGCTTTTTAGATGAGTGTTCGCTAGTTAGGTAGCGTTCCAACTATCTATCAGCTACCCGTTATACAATTGCATCAAACTAGTCTTGGAGGCGAACCAGCCTCAGGCTGAAAGCCACCTTAATAAAGATAAATCAATCAATCAATCAAACCAGCCTTGACATTTCATTGTTGATGCTTAGAAATGATCTAGTGGGCTGCTTTGCCTGTAAATTTGACAGTTTCAGAACCGTCTCAAGTATCAAATGGTATTTGGTGACATTCCAGTTTGAAAATTAGTCAAATTACTCCTGATAAATCAAGGATAGATTAGCTTTATTTTTTATACGATGAGATTATAAAAAATCACATCGTTCAACTATTATAATATGCACAACCCGTCTTCGTTTCTCAAACTACAGATCGCAGTTAACAATACAAACATACAATTTTGATTTACCCCATAAGCTGTAGTGATCGGCTGTCAACTATAACATTACGAAACCGATTATAAAATCCCGTTTCCCACCCTATATTCCCCTAATGTTTACAAAATGTGTCTGGTCTATTTATTTACCTAACCGTGTGACTAATTGGCTTCGTTTTATGGCGACTTTCCCCACATCGCATGCGATTAAGAATCTCGCGCTGCTACCGTAACCAACGCAACAAAACGGTACGAGATGTTTATTTTATCTCCCCAAGTCAGCCTTTACATCATCTTCCTCCTCGGATCGTACAGCTTCTTTGATGCCGAAAGAACCTACAGATGCGCCATACCACGTACCTACATATCTAGAGATAATCCCAAGTGTAAACAAATCGCATGGCATGCTTTGCAAACTGTCAAAGTTAGTGCACCGGCCGCCTCCTTTGATTGTTTACAGTTGAGATTACACATTGGACGACTGCAACACATGGCAAATTGCGTGATTCAAGTGTGTTGAAAACACGCACGCGATGTGTGTGTCTCCCATTCTTTCATATATGAATCACACAGCCCCCAATTAGATCAGAGTGCAATTTTACGACTTTTCTCGATTAAACCTTATTTACGATGTAACCTATTTGTTTGAGAACGAACAACCAAAAAAAAAAAAAAGTTGAGTGAAAAACTCCAGCTGAAATTTCCCGTCCCTTCGTTCGCGCTCGAATCAGAACTGTGATCCAATGAAGCAGTTCCGAGAGCAGTTTTCCTTCTGTTCTACGTTTCGTATCCATAAATTATGATTTTCAAAAGCGCATCCCGCTTGACGAAGGAATCTCTGCTTCGCGCGTCAATGGCATATACAGGGTGGCAACACAAAATTAACAGGATTTATTCATTGTTTACAGTGCTTGTTGAATTAGCCACATTGATTGTCATCGGGATCGAGCAGTACTTGTAGCCAGGGTTCTGCATTTTCGAAACAATTGAAGTCATAGTGTTTCTTGTTATCGAGTCACTATGAACATTCTTCCTGTCAAAAATGACTTGACTATGGCTTGTTTCGTTCGTCAAGTGCATCAGCTCATTTCATTTGAAGCAAAGACTTGTTTCAATTGACGCAATTAATGACTCGAAACCTGCTTCCTTCGTTTTATCCACTTTCACTTCAATTCGGGGCTCATTCGATTTGTCACGCGTCGCGTCTTCGGGCATCAAAATATAGTATACGCATAATATCGGGTGCCGATAGGGATGGCATCCGGATTATATGTAGTCCGGATGTTCTGGAGTCCAAGATGGCTGCCATCGGGCTCAGGAAAAGTCTCAAATACACTACAATATCGGTATTTTCGGAACGGGGACGACGCGAAGGTGCAGAAAATCGATGTCCGGCTCAGAAAAAAGTGTTAAATACCCTAAGATACGGGTATTTTCGGAACGGGGACGACGTGTAGATGCCAAAAATAAATATTCGATGCAATTTTGGAATCCAGATGGTAGTCATCGGGTTTCAGAAAAAAAAGTATCAAATACCCTAAGATTTGGGTATTTTCAGAACAAGGACGACATGTAGATGCCGAAAATCGATATTCAACGCCATTTTGTAATCCAAGATGGCGGCCATTGGGTTTCAGAAAAGTATTTAACACCGTAAGTTCTGGGTATTTTTGGAACGGAGACGTCGCGTAGAAGCTGAAATCAATATTTAACGCCATTTGTAGGGCTTCTTCTGAAATTGGAAGCCACCGTCACCCCGATTCCAAAAATAATCACATTGATCGGTATTTGACAGTATTTCACACTTTTTCTGACTCAAACCCTCCATGTAAGATTTTGAAATGGCGTCAAACGTTGGTTTCTGGCCTCTAGACGGCACTGGGATATCGAAAATACCCACATTGATGGGTATTTGACAGTGTTTCCCACTTTTTCTTAAACTGGAAGCAGCCATATTGGATTTCAAAATGACATCGAATATCAATTTTCAGCATCTAGACGTCAATATCCATATTGATGGGTCGGCATCAGAATTAGCTGAACATTAGCCGGAAGCCGTCAGCTTGGATTTCAAAATGACGTAAGATATCGATTTTCAGCCTCCAGACGTAATTTTGATTAAAAAAAATACCCATATTGATGGGTATTTGACAGTATTTCCCACTTTTCGAATTAGATACCGCCATCATGGGTTTCAAAATGCCGATGGATATCGATTTTTATTCTCTAGACGTCATCCCGAATCCAGAAATATCCATATACATAGATAGGTATTTGACAGTATTTTCCGCATTTTCGCGAACCGGAAGCCCCCATCTTGGATTTGTCGCATATCTATTTCCAATCCCTAGATGACATGCCGATTGCAAAAGTACCTATATTGATAGGTATTTGACACTATTTCCCACTTTTTTCTGAAATAGGAAGCCACCATCTTGGATTTCAAAATGGCGTCGGAATTAAATTTTCATTCTCTAGACAGCATCTTAGTTCCAAAAATACCAATATAGATGGGTATTTGACAGTATTTCCCACTTTTTCTTAAACTGGAAGCCTCCATTATGAATTTCAAAATGGCATCGCAAATCAACTTTGGTCCTCACTTCACCCCGATTCCACAAATAACCATATTGATGGGTCGGCATCAGTATTTCCCATTTTTTTAAACTGGAAGCCATATTGAATTTTAAAATGGCGTCACATATCGTTTTCCGGACTCTAGACGTCACCCCGATTAAAAAAAACATATTGATGGGTAAACAAACCACCCTACAGTGATAAATTCGACATCCACGTGCACAGATCTTTTGCGCATGCACTTAAATGAACCGAGTGAACAATCAACAGGAAACAGAGCAAATTTTAATCGAATAGCTTCGCTTCAATGCGAAAGTAAGCTCATTTGACAATGGAAGACGAAATGAACAAGAGTCAAGCCAAAACAAACAGCATGAAAACTGATCTAAAGTGGTTCTGTTGATGTTGAAGGGGATATGCTCAAAGAGAACACAGAATGACTTTCAATTGAAAGTGATGGCTGACAGCTTCGTCGTCAGTTGACGATTTTCAATTGAAAGTTACTTTGTTGGGCCCTGCTTGTAGTAATCACCTTGTAGACATATCTTGATATCTAAAATTGAGTAATAACAGACGTCACATTCAGCTCAATCAAACGTACTTTTCGTCGAATATCGAACTTTTCAGTCTCACAGCACTTAATTTTACATGATATGTTTGTTTACGTGTCATTCTTTATGTCAAAAATGGATTCCGTCACATTGAAAATTAGTTATTTCTAAAGGCCCAAGCGCAATGACAGTGGAAGCGGAACGGCAGCGGCAACGGAAAAGCCCGATCTGAGTAAGCCTACTTGTCGGATTGAAAACTAGTTCATCTAACTAATCGACATCGATTAGGCTTCTTGGCGTAATTTGTGACAACTGTCAAACTTTCCGTTTCCGTTCCGCTTCCGTCCACATTGCGTTTGGGCCTTAAGTGTGTAGTTATAAAATAGCCAATAATATACCACGATATCGACTACAGTAAATATCGTGTTGTGGAAAGTTGTCCATATTGCTTTTTAGATTATTTTTGCTTGCCACACTGCCATCAAAAAAGGTTTAACTGTGAAACACGGTTGGAAGTTTGTGCGTAACTTTCTCTAACTGTCTGCCAAAGCCAAAAAATGTGACATTTCAGTTGGTTCCGAGCAAGCCTGTCATTGTTTCGATTAATTTGGTTTCCATTTTAATGAGATTCCGGCTACGGGATCTAGAGTCTGTTTTAGTTCGGTGTTCGCTGGTTAGGTGACGTTCAAACGAATGAGTAGTTTCCCGTCAGAAGATTGTATCAAATACGCATTTGACATTTCTACAATATTTGAAAACGAAGGCTGTGAGAGTATCAATTTTCCGTTGGCACCCTGTACACATAGTACAGCAACAGCCGACCATACTCGGTTGCTAATGGAATTTCCTCACGCCTTGGGAAATGAGATGTGCATACTCTAGAAAGCATCAACTCAGAAAAAAAAAACAAGTTGGATTGAAATTTATAATATTTACTTTTCCAGCTGCGCCGTACGTAAGCTAGGCGGTAGGGTTAGAGACGATATGAGCAAATGGACCGAGGGGCTTATTCTAGACTAGACGATTGCAGTCGCTCGGGTGGTGCTCCGCTGGACATGAGAGCTGCCATTTCGAACTACTTGCTGGGCATTCCAATCGAACACGGAAACCACTTGCAGGGCGTTAAAACATCGCTCGTGCCTCTCCGAATCCAATTAGGAACGACGCCGAAGCACGTGGGCCAGTCTATCTTCACATTGCTGGGCGCGGCCGGGTGTTGATAAATGCAGCCCATTAGGCGCGATGCATTTGAACGGACTCTGTTTTGACTGGTTTCAGTCGAATTGAAGAATTTATGGCTGCATTTGTCGAGATAAAGTTAATTCGTTAGAGGGCTTTCTTCTTCGCTGGAAATTC